TGGTGTACCCAGTACGTGACTGAACTGACTTTCGGGGTATAGAAAAGAGAATCGCACCGTAGTGATTTTTAAAAGTAAATAGAACATGGGTTTTATCCTTTTGCAGAAGGAATTGCGATTGGATTTTTATTTCGTTTCGATCTTTGGATGGAGAATCGGAATTTCTTGTGCACTTCAGATACTTTTATTTGTAACTATTATTTCTTAATATGCCAATAAGCATTTAAGTGTGTCAGTAGTGAAACATGTATGTTTAAAAATGATGGCGACAGAAATGTTGTTTTTTTTACGAAATATTTATATATATTTTAATATTAAATTTAGTTTATTAAAACCATATTTTATTATTTTGGAGGTACGGATTTTTATTGATATCAATCAAGTGGCCAGTGCTGACCAAAGGACTATTCTCACATGGAGAAGGTTTGATAATTAATTACCACGCTTGCTCAATGCGGGTTGACGATTTCAAACTCATAATTAGAAAATATAAACCCAGGTTTCCTTACGATATTTTCCTTCACTGTTTGTGAGTGGTGTCAATCTTAGAAAGTCCATATAACTCGGAAAAGTCACATTGGTACTTTCCATTGGTCGGTTTTGAGCCCATAACCTCATGCATGAGCAGCGGGGGTCTTAAACCTCAGGGCCATCACGAAATATTGATATATGACTTTTAAAATTCACAAACCAGTGTCTGGAGTATATTTTTCAACTTTATGTTTATTTCTTTAAAGTAGGTTGTGAATAAAATTACCAACTATCTTATAAACACTATTTTTGGATGGTTATCATCTTGTAGAAATTAGGTTCTTTCGTAAAATTTCTCAGAAAAAAGAAAATATAAAAGGCCTGGTGCAATTCTCAAACATTTAAAATAAAACTAAATACTTGCACAATCTCCTTTTCCTTTTTATATTGCATTTAAATGATATGCAAAGATCGGGATTTGCACTTTGTTCTTACCTTTGCGCGATCGTATTGGTTTATTGCAACAAAGTATGTAAAGGCAGTTTTAGAGCTGTAATAAAGTGCAAGTAATCTTGAATATTTATTTTTATGTCATTTTGAACTAGTTTTATTAGAGACAGGTGTGGATTGAGAGATGTAGTGACAAGGATTGGAAAGGGAAAGTTACGCTGGTTTGGGCATGTACAATGGGTGGATGAAAATAGAGTAACGAAAGAAGTATACAGAGCGGATATGAATGGGGCCGTTGATAGAAGGCGCCCTAGAAGAAAATATTATACTGGTCGGATTGGCGATGTATTAAAGAAGGGCCAAATTAAAAGTGCCCTTAACCGACGAGCATGCATGACAAGACTAATGACTAATGATAAAGCGAAAGAGGTATGTAAGAATCATATGATCAGCAATTGAGGTTCCATAGTCTCTGCTCCCATGGGAGACAGGCGTGAAGTTATGTTGAACTAGTTTTATCGAAAGCGTGTTTAGAAGTCAGTAGGTAGCTAAGTAAATGCTCATGATACATTTTAATTTTTTTTTCAGAAGTTCTGAATTTCGCACCTAAAAATTCGTATTTTTCGCTTTCACGTCTACGCTTTAAAGAAACCAATAAACTAAAACATTATCTTATTAGAAGATATTATATTAAAATCCAAAACAAAATACAAAGAGTCATTAATGTCAAATTCCGCAAAGTACACAAAACAATGAGATTCGCAGCTGACACTAAAAACCCGTAATTAGCAAAAAGGTTTGGACACTCGCGAACCTCTTTTTTGCTAATAACAAAACTTGGGCCACACAATGACCAACGCGAGACCCGAAACTCGACATTCAAACATTGTCCATTTTCAAAAGCAAAGAGTTCGACCTTGTCGTCGGTTACCGAACTTGCGTAAATTGAGAATTCGGTATTCATGCTCACTTACATGGAACTGACAGGTGAACGAACGTGGGACCCACCCGGCCCTTTACTGCTTTTGATATTTCGACCCTTAAATACAATGTTCTAATATATTAAAACGTCTATATAATATTTTGGTGTGAGGCAACACAATTGCTTTAACAAACAAAATATAGTCAGCAGTTATTACTAATTTTAAACTATATATAACTTTCATCGTCTGCTGTTTTTTATTTTTCTTTTTCACCTGTATCACATTTATTCGTGTCGTGTAAAGAGAGCACCAATTATGAATACGAAATTGATTCAGATCCAAATCATAAACAATGCAAAGTCTAATATGTTTAAGGCAGCAACAGTTTTTCGAGACAACCCAATTGGTTTCAATCTACTCCCGGAGCTCATATTCACGAGCAGTAGTTACGTATAATAACAAAAATTGAAAAGTTTTCACTAAACCGTGAAATCTGAAAAGTATTGAATTGTTTCAATATTAAAGAGATATTTTGTATCTAAGTGGAACGATGACAATAAATTGAATGTGTCGGGTGCAGCTGGTGGTGGCAGCTTCAGTTCTATTGTTTATCGATGATGGGCGTGTGACCTAATTCTGCACTTTTATAGAACACATACCTACTTTGAGCTTATCAGCATTTTTATGGCACTATTGATACATAGCTTTTTTGTTTCAATTATAATAACAGGTGAATCTGAGAGTTTCAAGGTCACTTGAGGTAATTTAGGGAGCAAATCTCTAATAACTAACAAGATGATTTGATTTTGCTTATGACAGTAGCTGTCGTTTCCTCAACTTTATTCTAAGAATCATCTTATCATGTTAAGATCCAAAAAATTAAAGCATGTAGAAAACTCCACAAACGAAATAAGAAAATTTGAAGAGAAAACATGAAGATTTTCTTTTGTTTTAATTTGTATGTATTAACAAGAAGTGATCTCCATCCCAGCTGTATACTTTTACGAATATCGATGTCAAAGATTCGTTAAATAAACTTCCGAGGATCATTTTTATTTTTCTATCGGCATTTTCAAGTCGAAAACGTAATGGAAATGGAACGTAGTTGTTTTTCACATTCATTTTTTCGTATATATTTTTTTTAAACAACTTTGCCCTACATTAGGATTTTCACCTGTGTCGTGCGTTAACAAACATACAAGTTCACATACACAATGACACCCAGACCCGTAACAACAATTTGTGGATCACACAAAGTGTTGTTCCGTTCGGGAAAACCCGCGACACGTTGCACGGCAGCCGGTTACCCAGCGACCGCACCGACCGTGCAGTCTTATATTTATTATTATTACCTATATTTTACTTTGGCAATCGTTTTACTATTGGCTTACAGTCTTAAAATAAGTTCTGGATTTACTAGCGAGCTTGGGACTCTGAAATTTTTGAAATCAATAGCATTTTCAGTGAGGTATAGTTTCATACCGTTTCAAATATTGAAAAAATTGTGTAGAGATATTTCTAACATTTAAGTTCCATGTTTTGCCACATGAATGGGGCTAAAAACAAAGTTGTAAATTATATACATTCAGTCATTTTTTAAAGGAAAGACAAATGATTAATTCAGTACACAAATAGTAGATATTCGTGCACTACACTATATTGTATTAAAGAAAATGAATCCTTTGTAAACATTGGTTATTTTTCTATCTACTTTCAAGTTACTTGACTAACATACAGTACTTATTTCCGATTTTCTTAAAAATGTGAGAAATCAAAGCAGAT